GCATGGGAACTACCTATGTACTACACGGGTGCCTCCTGACTGCAGGCGAGGCAGTCCAGGAGGCTGCTCTTGCCAATGCCGAAGGGAGGCAGGGCCTGCCGCTGCAGCTCCTGCTCGAGCTGTCGTGGGGAACAGGCTAAAGATAGCCTGTTTCGAAAACCCTGTTTTTGTGCCTGAGTCTTAGGGTCGGTCGAAACAATGAGGGCCTGAAAATGGCCCTCCGTTTCAGGCTGAAAAGCCTCTGCGCCTGAAAGGCCCAGGAATAGGCTGAAAACGGAATAGGGCCTGCAGGCCCTCGTTTTTCAGTTTCAGGCTGAAACGACTGGGGCCTGTAAGCCCTATTTTCTAGCCTTTTAGGCTGAAAGTGCGGGACGGGCCCTGCAGGGCCCGTGTGGCTACGCAGTATGCCACACCCCCCACTCCTTGAAAGACTGAGCTTACCTGCGAGGGCGAAGCTGTCTGTCTGAGGGAGGGACCACAGTCTGGGTGGGAGGGGCCGGTCGTGAAGGTTCCTGAGCTAACCTTTGCTTCTCATAATGCGCGTAGATCAGCGATGCGGATGCTTTCAAATCTGCTCCTAAAATCCACGGAGTGTCGTCGCGATCGCAGGCTTTGAATGTAACTTTGAACGTTCGCGGCTTGCTGCCGTACTTGCGATTGGTGATGACGCGGTTAACTTCCTGATGACCATCCATAGGAGGGTCCTGCGATCGTCGGCCCGGAAAGTCGTCGCTCTTAGCTGGCGTGTATGTTGCCAGCTTTGAGGCGTGAAAGACTGGATGGACCGTTAGATGCGGGGGGATGTTGATCACAAATGAAGGGCCATCGGGCTCATCGCCCGCAGCTGATGTTACGGGCCATGGTCCAAACCACTTGGGAAGTAGTTTGCGTGAGACCTCCTGTTCCAGTGCAAACACTTCCGCGGAAATCCAAACCAGGTCGCCGGCGCGGATGGGACATGGCACGCGATGCCTGTTGGATTGCTGCTGCATGCGGACTTGAGCCTTTTGCATATTCGCTTGGGCTTAAGCCAACAATTCCCTGTACTTCCGAACGGAAGCAGGAGAGCAAGCGACATCGATGTCGGCTGGTCGTGGGAGGAGAAGGTCGGCGAAGATACGGCCTTTCCGTCCACCGTGGTGCAACTCGAATGGAGTCACGCCGATCGCCGGGTGCACTGAAGTGTTGTAGGCGAACTCGATGTCGGGGAGGCGGTCAACCCAATCTTTCTGGTCCGGACAGAGCATCATTTGAGCGGTTTGATGTGCCCGCTCCGTCTGCCCGTCTGTCTGAGGGTGTCGAGCCGAACTTGGTTTCATCTTCGTGTCGGACTCCTGCATGAGAGCAGTCCAAAATGCCGACATGAAGCGAGTGTCGCGGTCGCGCTGACTATGTCTTCCGGTACACCGTGGCCACAAATCCAACTGGTGTGCAAGAGGCGTGCCAGCTCAGGAGCCGTGGAGTAGTACTTGCAAGGGAGAAAGCGTGCGTACTTACTCAATCGGTCCACRACCGTGAGGATGCCGTCGTGTCTGAGGCGCTCGCGGGGGAATGGTCCGGTGACATCCATGGCAATGGAGAGACCGGGTTCCTGCGGGATCGGCATCGGGCGCAGCTCGCCATAGGGGTTGCAGTTGTGGGGTTTGCTTCGTCGGCAAACTTCGCAAGAGTCGCAATACCGAGTGACATCGGTAATGAGGTCGGGCCATCGGAATCGCTGTCGAAGCCGTGCAATAGTGCGGTTGACTCCGAAATGGCCGGCGAGTCGCGAATCATGATACTCGTCGAGGAGGCGAGTCCGAAGACGGCGGTCGTGTGGGACACATAGTAAGTCCTTGCCCCGCGAGTGCAGGAGCAAGTACCGATCCGCGATGCGATAGTGGTCGGCCGGCGGGTGATCCGAAGATAGCTGCGCATATAGCGTGGCGAAATCTGGATCGGACTCATAGCCCCTGATGAAGTGTCGCTGGAGCTCCTCGTCGAATGCGAAGGCATGATGTGTCATAGCGTAAAGATCAGGTCTTCGCGAGAGTGCATCTGCTGCGCGATTGGAGAGGCCGGGAAGATGTTTTGGTGTGAAGTCAAATTGGTCGATGAAGTACATCCATTGTCCCATCGTGCTGCTCACTGTATCCTGCGTCTTGTAGTAGGTCAATGGATTGTTGTCCGTAACCCATGTGAACCTACGCCGCCCAAGGAGGAAGTGCCGCCATCGTTTGAGAGCCATGACGAATGCGAGCAGCTCCTTCTTCCGTGCATCATCAAGGGAGTTGATGGGAGGCACTTTGTGGCTGAAATACTCCACAGGGTGCCAGTCGTCGCCGTCGTGTTGTTCCAAGACTGCCCCAATGCCATAGCCGGAAGCGTCAGTTGTCACTTTCGTAGGCAGGGTGGGGTCATAGATGCTAAGGACGGGTGCCATGAGCATAGCCGCCTTAAGTGCTTGGAATGACCGGCGTGCGTCGTCATCGAATACGAATGGCACCTTTGGCGATTGTAATCTCGTCATAGGTGCAGCAATCCTCGAGTATCCGTTGATGAATCGCTGATAGTAGCCCGCCAATCCCATGAATGAACGAACGTCCGTGGTGTTGGTGGGCTCGGGCCATACTCGTAGGGCCTCGATCTTGTCCGCAAGCGGACGGATGCCTTGCGGCGTCACATAATGTCCCAAGTACTCCAGCTCGTGCCGCGCGAATTCGCACTTGTCAAGGTTGGCTTTGTACTTGGCTTGTCGTAGCCGCTCCAAAACGGTGCGCATGTGTTCCACATGCTCCTCCAAACTCCGGCTGTACACCAGGATGTCGTCGAGGTAGATAAGTACGAATCGATCCAGCATGTGTCGGAACTCCGTTGTCATAGCCGCTTGGAAAGTGGTCGGGGCATTCGTAAGGCCAAATGGCAAAACCAGCCATTCGAAATGCCCATATCGCGTCTTAAACGCGGTCTTGTAGCGGTCCTCCTGCCGAATCTCGAGTTGGTGATATCCCGACTTGAGATCGAGCTTGGAGAAGAACTTGGCGCCGCCCAGTCGTTCGAGAAGGTCGTCGATGCGCGGGAGAGGGCCGGCGTTTCTGATCGTCTGCGCGTTGAGCTTGCGATAATCGATGCACAACCGCAAATCCTTGTTCTTCTTTCGGACGAAGAGAACAGGAGCACCATATGGCAACGCGCATGCGATAATCGATGCACAACCGCAAATCCTTGTTCTTCTTCCGGACAAAGAGAACGGAGCACCGTATGGCGATGAGCTAGGCCGAATGCAGCCTTTCTCGAGAAGATCGTTGAGTTGTGCCCGAAGCACACTTAACTCTTCCTCGCTCATTCGGTAGATGCAACCGCGCGGAGGTACGGCCCCGTCCTCGAGGATGATCTCGTGGCGGATGGGCCGATCCGGTACTACTCCATACGGGCCTTCGAACACGTCGCCGTAGGCGTCGAGAAGCTCGGTGATGCGTGGATCCGAAGAAGAGTCCGTCGATGAAGCGTCATGGGGCGGGAGGGCGTGGAGAAAACACACCCCCATCTCCTCGATGTCGTCTTTGATGATGGAAGCTCGCATGCTTGCGGCGGATACCATGTGACAGCTGACTGAAGGGTGAGGAGGAGCTAATGTGCATGGGACTACTACTCCGTTCCAATCACGAACATGAACGGTGAGGCGGTAGAAGTTCACCGGGTGATCCTCGCTTCACAGCCATGACATGCCCAAGATCATGTCGAATTTGGTGTCCAGAATGTCAAAGGACACCGCCTCACTTGCGTGAGGGGCAAAGTACACTGGGACGTCATCAATGCACCGGTCGATTGACTTGTGCGTGTGACCGTCCACCAACGTGACTTGCGTGGGTTGGGACTTCCTTCGGAATCGTGGGCCAAGGCCGGCGCGTACCATGAAGTCCTGACTCATGTAGTTGCGAGATGCTCCGCAATCGATCAAGGCGCTGCAGGTTGTCTCTCCGATCTGAATGCGTACATATAGCAATGGTGCGTCGATGTCGTCGTACCGTTGCGTCTTGAACTCGTGGTCGATGTTCGCAATGTTGGCGTGAAGGTCGACAACCTCTACTCCGGCGTCCATCAACGGAGTCGGTACTGCAATGTGCAAGTAATCCCGCAATTGTGCCATGAGCACGTTGCAATGCGGTTCCGGCAATCGACCGGACCGGGGAAGGGGCATCCATTAGAAGTCCGCAAATGTCAACGGGTCGAGCTCTTCAAGTCTTGACCATGACGTTGAATCCCCGGCGGTAGATGGCGGCGAAGCTGCCGAATCGGTCGCCGATGGTGATGAAACCGTGCATGCGGTAGATTGTTGCACGTGGAGCGGTTGGTCCAGCGGTGGGACCAAGTGGACAACACAGACCAGAACAAGAACCGACCTCTCAATACGAAGTACAAGATAGCGTAGCGGAAGACTTAGATACCAATGATCCGAACAATCAATATTGCAATGCTGCCCTAAACATACATCATCATCATCTTTCCATGGTGTGAAAGGGGTCTGGCGCTTCACACAGGAAGACTGCGCCAGCCCCAACCATACACAGACGAAGAAGAAGGGGGGTTAGACGAAGAG